CCCCCCCCCTTTTATTGAATGTATTTATTAACATTGTTTCTTGGATGAACCGAGATCGGAAGTATATCAAAATTTTCGTGGTGAAGCTAACATGCTTGTTAATCATGGTCACTGCACATGGCCGCTCGGGCCTAGTCGAATGAGTCGGCGATAGCCGAATAAGTAAAGATAATGAGAGCCTTTTCTCAACAACTACCGCATGGTTTTCTGAGATGTGAACATCATCATTTGGAAACAGGTTGAGCTGCCAGTTGCCCTCGATAGTATGTCTTTCCAGGCAGGCCACATTCAACATCTAAACTGAAAGGTATCGATGACTTCAGCACACTGTCAACCCTTGGTTTTCGCGGAGAGGCCCTGAATGCACTCTGTGCTATCGCGTAAGTTGAAATGACCCTCAATTTCCTTTTATTAAGGAAGGTGCTGGTGTTAATATTCTATTTGAACTGTAGCTTCTGCTTCTGTATATAGAAATCTGTTTTTTTCTGCTACTCGGAATAAGTGGAAGTGTGTGCTTTTTTTTCTGCTACTCGGAATAGATGGAAGTGTGTGCTTCCTCTATGCGTGGACTTTCTATCACTATTCAGTCTCCTCTCTTCCGCAACTCACCGTAGCTCAATGGTGTTTTGTGGTATTTGAGAACAATGTATTTCCCACGTGTTACTGGTGTTACTAATGTTACTAGTGTTACCGCTTTTTAGCTGTTGAGTAGTGAAAGATCACCAATAAATCACCAATCATTTCACTACTCAAAAGCTATGAAAGCGGTAACACTAGTAACACTGAGAACAAGAGTAATGTTGGTAACACCGGTAACACGAGTAACACTGGTAACAGGAGCAACATGGGTAATACGAGTAACACTAGTAACAGGGGTAATACTGGCAATGTATGATCAAAGCCTTAAATAATAGTACAACATCGTGAGTAAGAGAACAATTTTGTCGTGTGATCAAATTCATGAGATTATATCAGCAAATTAGAAGAGAACTAAATTTGCTCAGAACTAAAGTCCGTGGGGAGGGGAGAAGGTGAATGGTGCAGAGAGAGCGGCAGAAATGTAGTATATTTGCATGTTCTGTCATCGTTTTGGCTTTAGTGTTGACTTGAAAGATATAAGCATACGAGAATTCCGAAATCCTTATGGTCTGTTTGAAGTTCACTCACTATCATCACGCGATCTCGATCTGCTACCCTTGGCACCAAGCTCCGCTTCGACCACTGTGGCAGGATAGTAGATCAGTCACCTGTTGCACGATCGGTAACTTTCAGATATCATGTTAATTCCGTATGTTTCAAACTTACACTTCAGATAGGAACTACTGTGGTCGTAGAAAATCTGTTTGAGACGCTCCCCGTGAGGAGGAAAGAATTTGAGAAAACAGCAAAGAGGGACTTCGGTAGGGTTCTGACTGCTATTCAATGTTTTGCCCTATCCCGACCTGAGGTGAAATTCATATGCAGCAACGTCATTGCGGGGTGAGTGGGTTCAAACAGCATTAGAACGCTCCTTCATTCACTTACAGAAAGAAGTCTCAACCCATTTGTACTCCGGGAAAAGTCGGTGTGCGAGAGGTAAGTGAACTACAGTTTTCTTGATAAGAGAAATTATTTACATTGATCAAAGGTTGTGATCAACTTATTCGGAGGTCGAGCCGATAAAAACAAGATGGTTGACGTTGTTCGCTGTGTTCCAACTGAAGATATCGCGCTGATGCACGGCGTCGATCCTAAAAACACTTCAGCTTATGTAGATATCGAGTGAGAAGCACCTGAACTATGTTTTTGACTATTAATAGGCTATCCATTTAGGTTCACTGGCTTTGTTAGCTCTTGCGAGCATGGCTATGGGCGAAGCTCGACTGACCGACAATTTATATATGTTAACCAAAGACCTGTGGATTATTCCAAGGTATTTGAGACAACGGCTGTTATGTTGCGCATTTCATAGATGAACTAGAGACAGTCTATTTCGCACCCAAAACTTTATTCCAGATTTGTCGAGTAATTAACGAAGTTTACCAGCAGTATAATCGATCTCAATACCCCACACTCGTACTGTACATCAACGTACCTGCAGGTTGGATATAATTTAGTTTCATATGCGCATGGTCAATTTGCAGCGGAATTCCGCTGCTGGGGGTGCTTTTTGTTTTGTTTTTCGTTTCGCATTATGGAAATCATATTATTATTCCGAATAGGGTTGTTTCTCACTATAGAAGAGGTGAGAATAACTAGGGAACGAAAGCGCTTGTATTGAAAATTGGTCTATGCTTGAAATTGCGGTTATTCTATACGCTGGTCACATACAACTATATTCCCAAACTGTATTCGCGGGATAGTTTGAGAACTTCCAAGTCCTCTGGATTCCTATGATCATGGCAGGTCTTGCAGAGTAAACTGAATCTCCTTAACTCATTTTAGAATGTTAAGTGCTGTGATTCTGGATATCCATGAACCCCACTGCGACGGATTGGTAAAGTGACAGTCTCGTGCTCCACATTATGTTAGGAAAGGAAGTTTGCAGTAGGGGTGTCTCTGAGATGATAGGCTTTATGCTGCTGTAAAGAAAAAGTCAAAAAAATTTTAATCACTCGCGCGGAGTTGCTGGAAAAACTTTGAAAATATAAGCAACAGAAGCTTTGCGATGAAAGAAATACCCACACCAATTCCGCACTTCTCAAAATTATGCTGCTAGTATCACAGGGGCTATTGTGATTTTGAAGAGATGTAGATGGCGACTAAGATTATAAGCCATGAACTGTTTCAGCTGAGATTGATGTCAATGTCACACCAGACAAAAGAATGATATTTTTTCAAAGAGAAAAGGAACTACTGGCTCTCATCCGCTCCTCCTTTCTGGCCACATTTCACCCACTTCTGGGGTCCTACACATCAGTTGTAGACAGAATAGCCAACAAAAGTATGTTTCTTATCGATGTTTTATTGAAGAGTGGTAGGGCAGTATTTCAGACTGCGAGAATGACGGTTCGGAACATACGTCAATCTCCAAATCAAATACTCCTTTATCCGCTAACTCTGCCCTATTTTCACTGCTCAAGTCTAACTCAGCAAAATCTACTTCGCCATCGTACGCTCCTCCTCAGCCGAAAAAAAGCAGGACAGAAGATCACAATCTTAAAAAAGTATGGCAAGTAAATAATTAAATGCATCGCCTACTCAAGTATAATTACAGATTTTGTCGAGTGGTCTGAAAACTTTGGACGCATTTGCTTTCAAACCTATTTCTCGCGACGCTTTAGCTGAGAGAATTAATACGCACATAACCAATGAGACGTATGAGAAGTCTTCTACGGATGCAGCTGTAAACAACACTGAAATTGATGCTCCTCTAGCTAGCACTTCTTCTGATTCAAGACCTATCAAGGAACGTACACCCAAAAAAGCCGGTAAATTGATGAATTTGAGCAGAGTAAGTTTACTTCTTGGATGTTCTTTTAGACAGTAACTTCACAATAACGCTTCACCGGCGGGGGGAGTTCAGCCCATCTCTAACAAGAAATTTATCTCGGGGATTTGATGCTGTTATTGAGAAGGACAGTGTGTTCATGGAAAAGATGGAGAGGACCATGGATGAGGAAGAACCTTCAACGAGTGCCACAGCTTCAACAAGGAAAGAGGTAGCTCTCTCTCGCTACTTGGCGCACTTCATTCAATTTTTTCTTGTTTCTAGCCTACCTTGGAAGGCGCTATAACACTGTCACAATGTGTGGAGCAGTCAACTACATTTATGAGAACGCAGCAATTGGTTTGTTAACACTCAATTTTATACTGTGATGCATAGCTTCGATTGATTCGAAAAACTAAGGTCCCCTTCACTATGTCAGCACTGAAAGATCGCCTCAATAATT